CGAGATACTTAGCACTGGTTATGGCAGCAGCAGAGGAGGAGAAGCCAAGTTCGGAGCTACCTGCAGCAGTGAAGGAGGGCTTGGAGCAGTACAAGGATATAATGCCCGATGACCTACCTGCAGGCGTACCTCCAGCACGCACCCACGAGCACAAGATCGTGGAGGAACCAGGTGCGAAACCCGTCTCACGTGCACCATACCGACTAAGTACGACAGAAGTGACAGACATGAAGAAACAGATAGAGTATCTACTCGACCGACAACTGATCCGCCCAACCACCTCTCCCTACGGTGCACCAGTCCTCTTTACTCCAAAACCAGACGGCAGTTTCCGGATGTGCATCGACTACCGTGCACTGAACAAACAGACAGTCAAAAACAATTATCCCATACCGCGCATAGACGACCTTCTCGATCAACTGCGTGGAGCAACAGTATTTTCGAAGCTGGACCTACAATCGGGTTACTGGCAGATCAAGATGGCAGACAACTCGGTCCACAAGACGGCGTTTCCTACCAGATACGGCTCCTACGAATACTTGGTGATGCCGTTCGGACTCTGCAACGCACCAGCAACGTTTCAGGCGGAGATGAATCACATATTACGACCCCTACTGGACGAGTGCGTAGTGGTGTACCTGGATGACATTCTCATCTACTCCAAGAACATGAAGGAGCACGTGGAGCATCTGTGGAAGGTGTTCGAGATCCTGCGGAAAAACAAGTTCTACGTGAAGCTGTCGAAGAGCGACTTCGCCCTGAAGAAGGTGCAGTTTCTTAGGCACATGGTGAGTGCCGAGGGCGTACACGAGGACCCGCGGAAGATCAAAGCCATCAAGAAGTGGAAAGTACCGGAGAACGTGAAGGAGTTGCAGCAGTTCCTAGGCTTCGCCAACTACTACAACAGGTTCGTGCAGCAGTACCCTAAGATAGCAGCGCCATTGACCGACCTACTGAAAAAGGATACGCCCTACAAATGGGATACCCCTCATCAGCAAGCCATGGAGCAGCTACAGACAGCACTGACTACAGCGCCAGTACTCATCTTGCCGGATCCAGACAAGCACTACGTGGTGGAAGTAGACGCTAGTGACCAAGCAGTCGGAGCAGTACTGATGCAGGATCACGGACGCGGTTTGCAACCCATCGCCTTCCTCAGTAAGCTGCTACACGGAGCAGAACTGAACTACCCCATTCACGACAAGGAAGCCTTAGCGATAGTCATAGCCTTCAAGGCGTGGAGGTGTTACCTAGAGGGAGCCAAGACTACAGTTTATACTGACCACTGCAGTCTCAAATACCTGAAGTCGCAGCCGACGCTCTCACGACGACAGGTGCAGTGGGTGGGCTTCCTGGAAACTCACTTCCACTACGACATCGTCTACAAGCCTGGGCTACACAGCAAAGCAGACGCATTTAGCCGCCCCGGACATGTAGCAGGCATCCAGCTCGACAGGATGAACCCTCTGCTCAAGGGTCTATTCCAACATGGGTACTCCGTGGACGCAGAGATCGATACAGCACAGACCAAGAAGTTGTTACAGTGGGAGAAAGACTTAGCTGTAAGGAAGGGTTCAGGAAAGATTTGGGTACCGAATTACACCCCGCTACGGCAAATCCTATTGGAGGAGTTTCACGACGTACCTTACGCGGGACATTTCGGGAGCAACAAGACGTTAGCAGGGATAGCGAAGTATAACTACTGGCCCGGGATGGCAGCAGACGTGCAGCAGTTCGTCACCTCTTGCGACACGTGCCTGCGGATGAAGAGTAGCAAGCAGAAAAAAGCTGGGTTACTTCAGCCTCTACCCGTACCGGAGCAGCCATGGCAAGTCGTTAGCCTCAACTTCATCACAGGACTTCCTTCGACCTCACGGGGGCATGATTCCATCCTCGTAGTAATCGATAAGTTCTCCAAAATGGGTCACTTCATACCGACCAACGCCACAGCTACAGCTGAAGCAACTGCTCGCCTCTTCTTCGACCGCATCATCACCATCCACGGCATCCCCGCTACACTCATCTCAAACAGAGACCCAAAATTCACCAGTAAGTTCTAGAAGGAGCTCATGGGACTGTTGGGGACAAAGCTTGCAATGTCTTCAGCATACCACCCCCAGACAAACGGACACACAGAGCGACTCAATCAAATGGTTGAACAGTTACTGCGCACAGCTTGCAAGGACGACGTCAGCCGCTGGGACACACAGTGGACTTCCAGGAAGCCATCTCTGCGTCCATGGCCGACTGCCACTGAGAGGAGTAGGGACCCTCGATCGCCTCAGCGTACGATCGAGGAGTCGGGATGTCTGGTGCATCCGGGTCTCCCTCAGGGGCAATCAGCGTGGACACGAGATGAGGCAAAGCAGCAGCAAAGCACTGGAACTCCTCCTGCCTGTCCTCAAGGACGTCCGTGCTAAGAGCACACTCACCCCTGACGGACGGAGGACAGACAGACTCAGACTCAGCAACGAGACTAGCAGCGTAGTCTAGACGACAGCGTGCAGCAAAGTCGACAAGCTCAGCAACTAGGGCAGACGCAGCAGGGGACTCAAAGGAAGGGTCAGTGACAACAATAGCCAGGAGACGCGTGACAGAAGGACTAGCAGCACTAAGAGAGTCAGACTCCGGGTCAGCAAGAGTAGGAAGAGAGGACTCTGGAGGAGACAGCAACAGGACACGCAGAGGAGCAGTGGAAGGACGCAGCGCCATCTAGTGTGTGCCGGGGACCGCAGGAGGACGCGGACGCGGAGTACAACCACTAGTGCGAGCAGCACGAACAGGCAACGCAGGACGAGACGCAGGCTCACGACGCTCAGCAAGACCTCCAGTAGGACCAGTGTAGGGAGAAGGAGCAGGTAGAGAGAAGGCGGGCTGTAACTGTGACTGCGACTGGACAGACTGTGGACACTCTAAGGGAGGAGCAGGACCAGTAGAGGGCGGGAGAACAAGAACCTGCTCCAGGAGCGGAACAAAGTACGGCCTCGGCCGCGCAGCGCCTCCAGAACTAGTAAGGACAGCAAAAGTACCCCCAGCGGCAGCACCAGTGCTCGCAGCACCTCCAGCTCCAAAAGCGCCAACTCCAGCACCCTCAGAAGCACTAGCGCCAGCAGCACCACCAGGGCGAACACCCCCAGCAGCTCCAGCTCTAGCAGCTCCAGCTCCAGCAGCACCAGCTCCAGTAGGACCGTCAGCTCCAGCAGCCTCAGCAGCACCTCCAGACGCACTAGCGCCAGTAGAAACACCAGCGCCAACACCCCCAACAGCTTCAGCTCCAGCAGCACCAGCACCGCCAGCAGCTCCAGCAGGACCAACTCCAGTAGCCCCAGCAGCACCCCCAGTCCCAGCAGCTCCAAGACCGCCAGTACGAGCACCTCTGGGACCAGCAGCAACAGTAGCACCTCCAGCTCCAGCAGCACGTCTCCAGCGGCGGGCAAACCACTCGCGCAGCTCCTGTGGAGAGAGTGGCTCCTACCTCGACGAAGCACCGCCGGCGGCCACACGGGCAGACCCAGCGCCCACAGGCTCCGCACCCCCAGACCCAGCACCCCCAGGCTCAGCACCCCCAGACTCAGCACCCCGAGACTCAGCACCTCTAGATCCGGCACCCGCAGCCTCAGCACCTCTAGCAGCACCAGAGTCAACCGCTACCTCGACAGGCTCGATTGCGTCTACCTGGGACACACCTAATGGGGCAGGACCCTGAGGGGGGAGGGGGTTTACTGGGGGAGGACCTGGCACAAGGAAGAGCGGCGGCGGGGGGAGGGGTGCAGTGCGGTGGGGGAAGAGATGGTAGTAAGGCACCGACTCGTCAAAGGTGACGTCCTGGGAGGACAGAACACGGCGCGAGGTGGGGTGGTAAAACTGCCACCCAAGCGCGTCAGGGGGGAAGCCAAGGAAGACGCAGGGAACACCACGGGGGGACAGCTTGTCCGCAGACAAGTCGCGGACAAACGCATGAGATCCCCAGACCCGAAACGCAGACTCATCGCCAACCTTCCCCGTCCACCGCAAGGCGGGGGAGTTCTCTGGCAAGGAGACCCGAGGCTGAAGGTTGAGTTGATGCGCGGCGTACTGAACCGCAAACGGCCACAGAAAATAAGGGGCAGCCGCATGCATCATGGACGTACTAGCGACGTCCATGACCATGCCAATGCGGCGCTCAGCAATCCCATTTTGCTGTGGAAAGGCCGGAAGCGTGAAGGTTTGGGGGATGCCCTGTGCACGACAGAAGGCTCCCAGGCGGGCAGAGGAAAACTCCCCGCCTCTGTCCGAGTGCAGACGCAGAAGAGGAAAGTCCGAGCCGAAACTCTCCCTGAGCTGGAGACGAGCTTCGCGGATCCAGTCGATCAACACCTCAGTGACGTCACCCTTGCTGCGCAAGGGGAAGACTATGGTGTAACGCGAGTAGTCGTCAACCACCAACAGGAAGTACCGCTCGTGCCCTTGCCCACGGACGCTGGCGGGGCCCCATACGTGACCAAGGCGGTGATGCCAGAGGAGAGTCTTGTGGGACTGTAGACGACACGAGCAGGGAGCAGACTCAGGCCCAGACGTGGACGCTGCAGCAAACAACTGACTCGACGCAGCTACCTGGCCAGACTTAGCATCCGGAGGAGACTCAGTAGTAAGGGTGTACAGGCTCGCCCTGGCCGACGGGTGAACATGACCAAGTGTCGGCCTGTCCGAGCACACGTTCAGTGGGTCACTCGCTGACTCGCAGGAGTGAACTGGTCAACCCCCCTATCCTGTAGGTACGCTCCACTCACCAAGTTTGTAGAGAACGAGGGGAGGTAGAGACCTGACAGGGTGCCAGAGGGGGCTGCCGGGCACGGTAAGACGGTGGAGAAGCTAGCAAGGACAGGACCCCCAGAGGGGTCCGCCAGGGAGACTGCAACCGGCTGACTGAGCGGCGTAAGAGTGGTGCTGTCTCCAAAGAAGGAGCGGGACGCACCCGAGTCAAGGGTGAAGGTGTGTAAGGCCTGAGCCGACGTAGTACCTTAGAGAGCAGACTCACTAGCACCTGGGGCAGCAGACGCACTAGCACCTGGGGTAGCACACGCACTAGCACCTAGAGCAGCAGCCTCACCAGCACCTAGAGCAGTGGCCTCAATGCTCGGGTTTGGCGGTACACACAGGTAACAGTCACCCTCAACACTAGTAGTCACAGAATACATGGCAGCAAGAATAGCATCATAGTCAAGATCAAAGATGGCAACTCCCGCCCTAGACAGATCTCCCTAGCGAGGGATTTCTAACGCCTTAGGGAACTGGCGACGCCAAGCGTCCGTCAGGCGACCGAAGCAGCGCTGGGTGGAGTGCGGGCCCCCGCACTGCTCACAAGCTCGGTCACCGGTACGGAGGACGTAACTGCAGGGACCTGTACCCCCACCGCGCTGACGCGCAGCGTACCACTCACGAAGCTGCTGAGGGGACAGGGTCACACCACTCCGCTGCGGCTGGCGCGGACCACCACCTGAGCCACTCCTCTGTGCAGAGTTGCGACCCGCTCCACCATTGCCCCCGCCGCCGCCGCCGCCTCCGCCGCCTCCTCCACCTCCGCCTCCTCCGCCACCTCTGCCGCCTCCGCTCCCTCCGCCACCACCGCCGCCTACTCCGCCTCCACTGCTGCCGCCGCCGCCGCCACCCCCGCCACCACTCCCACCACCACCCCCACCCCCTCCACTTCCTCCACCACCACCTCCACCGCCCCCACCAGCCCCTCCAGCGCCCTTGCCCCCCTTGCCCTTGCCGGTGCGGCGTCTCCCGCTAGGGGCAGACGCAGCGCCGACCGAATCGAAACCAACGAGGTCGGCCGCAGCAGGAGAAGCAATAGAGGGCAAGAGGGGGGAGGGGGAACACCCCTCAAAGACGGGGGTGCGTGGGTCACCGCGAGAGGCTCCTACAGCGACTATGCTCTTCTCTGCTGCTAGGAGGCCCTTCTCGACGAGGTCAACGGTGAGAGTGGTGGGGCAAACTGAGAGGAAGTGGTCCCTGACTACGCGAAGAGAGTTAGGGAGCCGGGTGATTATGTAGTAAAGGGTGATGTACATGGGGGGGGGGGTTCTTGGCGCAGAATTTAGCAGGAAGTGCAACGCGGTAGCGAGTGTTACTAGTGCGGAGGTGCGTAATGAGGTCAGCAACTGTGGGAAAGGCAGCAAGGTCAGGGAAGAGGTACGGTAGCATGAGGCGGCTCAGTGCAGCTGTGGTAGGGGAAGAGTAGCGTGCAACTACAGCGTCGTACAAGGTTTGAGTACTCTTGTACTCGCTAAAGTGTGCACGCTCAGTGGTCGGTAAGTGGCGACGCACAGCAAGGCGAGCAGCAGCATCACGTGTGGCCCACTGTGAGCGAACAGTGCTGTCAGCAGTAGCAGGCGGGGCAGGAGAGACACCAGAGGTGAGATGGAATAGAGAGAGTCCGTCTGCCCTATCGCACTGGAGAAATAGCTGGAGGTCATCGACCCAGACCTCAAAGTCAACGGCACGGCCTTTTAGCATCAAAAGAAAGGACACTGGGGGTAGCCATGACTGCAGTGGCCTAGCAGGAAGTGAGCTCACCAGTCCGAGGAAGGAGGGCCGGGGAGCACCGGTAGGAACAGCAGCGGCTCGACAGTAGGGCAGCTCGGCAGCTTGGCGGCAGGGCGGCTCTGCTGCTGGGCGGCTCGACGGCTCGGCGACTCGGCGGCACGGCGGCTTGGCTGCTGGGCGGCTCGGCTGCTGGGCGGCTCGGCGGCAGGGCGGCTCGACTGCTCGGCGGCTCGGCGGCTCAGTTGCTGGGCAGCTCGGCTGCTGGGCGGCTCGGCTGCTCGGCGGCTCGGCTGCTGGGCGGCTCGGCTGCTGGGTGGCTCGGTTGCTTGGCAGGTGGGCGGCTCGGCTGCTGGGTTGCTCGGCGGCTCGGTCGCTGGGCAACTAAGCGGGGACAGGGCCGCTAGGGGAGGGCGACGGGGCCGCAGGTGACGGCGACGGGGCCGCAGGTGGCGGCGGGGCCGCAGGTGGCGGCGGGGCCGCAGGTGGCGGCTGCGTGGCCGTAGGTGGCGGCGACGGGGCCGCAGGGGGCGGCGACGGGGCCGCAGGTGGCGGCAACGGGGCCGCATTTGGCGGCGACGAGGCCGCAGGTGACGGCAACGGGGCTGCAGGTGGCGGCGACGGGGCCACAGGTGGCGGCGACGGGGCCGCAGGTGGCGGCGACGGGGCCGTAGGTGGCGGCGACGGGGTCTCAGAGGGGCCGCAGAGGGGCCGCAAGGGGCCTAGACGGGGCCACAGAGGGGGCCGCAAGGGGCCTAGACGGGGCTGAAGAGGGGCTGCAAGGGGCCGAAACGGGGCGGCGACGGGGCCGTAAGGGGCCGGAAAGGGCGCCGCGAGGGACCGAAAGAGGGCCGCGCGAGGGCCGTAAGGGCGGCGCGAGGGGCCGTAAGGGGCCGTAAGGGCAGCGCGAGGGGCCGTAAGGGGCCGTAAGGGCGGCGCGAGGGGCCGTAGAGGGCGGCGCTAGGGGCCGTAAGGGCGGCGTAAGGGGCTGTGAGAGGGGCCACTAAGGGCGGCGCGAAGGTAGGGAGGGCACACAGAGCGCGACTCGGGCAGGAGTGAAGTGCGCTCCGGGCAGGAAAAAAAATATCGTGGTGGGCCCTAGGTAGCGTTCCCACTAGGGAACCTGCTCTGATACCATGATATGAAACGTGGAAAATGAATGCATTGAGCAGAATGAGGAGTACAAGTAGTAAACCCTAAAGTGTTGCACCCCATATGAACTGCCCCACTACAGCCTACACAGACTAAAGCATATATGCCTGAGAGTTGGAGCCCTGCGGAGGACAGAGGTTTGTTGTCCGGTTTGTAGTTGGCGCTGGGCGTGCGGTAAGGAGTTGAAATTGGTGCAGGTACACTTTTGAAACGTCCACTTAGCTGCTCTGCGTACTTGGAGGCTGACATATGAATTGCCTCCGGCGCGTAGGTGATGTTCAGCCCCAGGAACTGTGTGACCTTGAGGTTGATAGTGGTGTCAACGCGCTGTGCTAGGTTGCGCTCGAACTGGTTCCAGCGCAACCTGGTATACAGCAGGTTGTCAACGTAGACAGTCAGGAGGATGTAGTCGTTGTTGAAGTGAAGCTGGTACATTTCTGGGTTGTGCGGAAGCTGCTTGAAGCCGATCTCGAGGAGAATTTTATGCAGGTGCTGCTTTCGAAGTCGCGGCGCCTCCTTGATCCCGTAAAGTGACTTTTTCAGCTGACAGACCCTTGGGTCTCCTTCCTCATAGGTTTGTGGTTGCTCCACGAAGATGGTCGCATCAACCAACGCGTACAAGAACGCATTCTTTACGTCGATCTGCCGTAGTGGTAGGTACTTTGCGGCAGCGATAGGTGAGTAGAATTTGCACCGAGGTGTGACGACTCATGGGGGTGAAGGTCTAGTTGACGTGGCGCTGATCGTACCCCGTACGACCCACCTTGCTTTGAAGCGCTCGATAGTTCCGACAGCGTAGTTTTGAGACGGAACACCCACTTTCCATATAGCACCCTCCTCCCCTTCACTGCTGCACGATCGACAAGAAACCAGGTGTCGCGTGATTCCAGGGCCTGTAATTCCGCATCCATGGTTGCACGCCACTCCTTAGCGTGTGGACCGGTCAGGGACTGTCGCAGATTTTGTGGTTCGACAGCACATGGGGTGGTAGAGGTGGCGATGTGTAGGCCGAGCAGCTGTGGACCTGTCACGTTCGCAGCACCATGAACTTCCTGAGTGGTTACTTCAACCACGTCGTCGTCGCCGCTTTTGTGTGCAGGCGAGGGACTGCTTGGAGGGTCGTGGCGTTGTGAAGGTCCTGGCGCGGGAGCGTCATCTTTGTCGTCGTCGTCACGTGGACAAGGAGGCATGCCGGGATGTTCGTCGCTGGGTTCATGGTCGAGGGGTGTTGCGGCTACCTCATCCTCTTGAGAGGCGAAGCTGCAACAGTTGTTGGCGTGAGCTTGTATTGTGCTTGTCTGCTGATCCGTGACCCACTGGTCAAGGGTGAGACGATCGTAGAAGAGGATGTCTCGTGCAGGTACAATCTTATTGGTGTTAATGTCCAGTATCAACCAGCCCTTGTACTCATAGCTGAGCCCCAGATGAACTCCCCTGCGAGCGCGGCACGTGAAATTGCCCGATGGTAGCAAATATCAACGCGTATTGCACCATGCAAACCCAAACCCTCAGAATGGAGGTGTCCCCGCTTATTCTGGTCCACTTCATGTGAGGTGAGAGGAACCCCCTGTTGGCTGTGGTTGACAAGAGGTTGTGCAGGCGCACAGCGTGGTTCATGGCGTACGGCTAGTACTTGAGGAGAAGGCCGGACTGCTTCTGGAGCACGCGGACTTTCGTCATGAGGGTGTGGTTGATCCACTCTGCGATGCCTTGCTGCTGGTGAGCATAGGGGAAAGAGATGTGGTGTAGGATCCCCTTCTCCGTGAGGAAGTTTCGCAGCTCATTACTTCGGAATTCCGTTGCCCCATCTGTATGCCATATTTTTTATTTCTTTCCCGATTGCCGCTGCGCATGGGCCAGCCATATCTTAAAGGCTTCATGTCCCGTCGAGCAGATGTCGACGTTCGCAACCCAGACGTAACTTGAGTTGGCGTCCACGAAGGTGAGATTGTAGCTCTTATCATTGACTCCGCCAAACCCAACAACGATGAAGTCTCTTTATACCTTCTGCAGCTTCTTGTAGCGGTTAGTGCTTGGCTCCAGCGAGGGGTAGGCGTGATGCGCACGAGCAGCTGTAGAGCAAACAGTGCAGGTCTATGGCTGTAAGGTTTTTCGTGGTTTCGTGCCGTCAAGGCATAGAAGGGCTTCGGGCAGGAAAACCTTGGCCTTGAGACAATTGTTGAATGTCTGTCGTGAGGGGTGGCTAAGGCGTTGATGCAAGAGGTCATCATTTGCGCGTATTCTGGGGTTGCACAGGTATAGTGTGTGATGCGCAGCTGCCTCTGCTTGGGTCGTGGGGAATTTCAAGCACGGGTCCTTCTTCTTTTCCTGGTTCTGCTTCCTCCCCTGATTCAGGTTCTGCTGTTGATTCTCCTTCTGTAGGTGCTGTTGACAGGTAGAGCGCAAGAAAGTTGCGGTCAGAGATGTAGAGCAGGGGAGTAGTGTTACCTTCGATGAGTCGAGCAAATGGGTTTGGGTGCGAGAGGGGTCCATACGGACAGGAGTGCCATCTGGTGCGTGCCGAGGATAGGAGGACGACGAAGACGCGGAACAGGAAGACCAGTACGAACAACATGAACAGGTGAGGCAGGACGAGACGCAGGCTCATGACGCTCAATAAGGGAGTCTGACTGCTTAGTTTAAGAAAAAGGAGCAGGCAGTGGGGAGTCTGGCTGTAGCTGTGGCTGCGACTGGTAAGGCTGTGGACAAGTCCAGTAGAAGACGGGAGACTAAGAACCTGGCGAAGTGCCGAGCCATGTGGTGGCAGAGATAACGGCGACGGCAAAACGAAGAACAGTCGCCGCTACACAGTGCCTCCAGCACCAGTACCAACAGCTCCAGCACCCCTAGCGCCAGCACCTCCAGCTCCAGCAGCTCGAGCACCAATAGTGCCAGCACCTCCGGCTCCGGGCTCTCCAACTCCAGGGTCTCCAATTCCAACGCCTGCAGCATCACCAGCTCTAGCAGCTCCAGCTCCAGCAGCTCCAGCTCCAGCAGCTCCAGCTCCAGCAGCTCCAGCACCTCCGCTACCTCCAGCGACACCGCCTCCAGCTCCAACGCCAGCAGCACCTCCAAGACCAGCAGTTCCAATGCTTTTAGCGCTAGGGTCTCCAGCGGCAGGCCCCCCGGCTCCAGCAACGCCACTTCGAAGGCTCCAGCGCCGAGCAAACCACTCGCGCAGCTGCAATGGAGAGAGAGGCTCCCGTCGTGACGGGATACCCGGAGGACCTCTAGTACCACCAGGACTTGCAGCTCCAGTACCTCTGGTACCTCTAGCTTTAACGCCTCCAAGACCAGCAGCTCCAGTGCCTACAGTTCCAGGGCCTCCAGCGGCAGGTCCAGCAGCTCCGCCACCACTCCCACCACCACCCCCACCCCCTCCACTGCCTCCACCACCACCTCCACCGCCCCCGCCAGCCCCTCCAGCCCCCTTGCCCCCCTTGCCCTTGCCGGTGCAGCGTCTCCTGCTAGGGGCAGACGCAGCGCCGACCGACTCGAAACCAACGCGGTCGGCCGCAGCAGCAGAAGCAACAGACGGCAAGAGGGGGGAAGAGGAACACCCCTCAAAGACGAAAGTGCGAGGGTCACCACGAGAGGCTCCTACAGCGACTATGCTCTTCTCTGCTGCTAGGAGGTGCCCCTCGAGGAGGTCAACAGTGAGTGTGGTGGGGCAAACTGAGATGAAGTGGTCCCTGACTAAGCGAAGGGAGTCAGGGAGCCGGGTGACTATGTAGTAGAGGGTGATGTACATGGGGAGAGGGTTCTTGGCACAGAACTCAGCAGGAAGCGCAGCGCGGTAGCGAGTGTCACTAGTGGGAAGGTGCGTAATGAGGTCAGCGACTGTGGGAAAGGCAGCAAGGTCAGGGAACAGGTACAGCAGCATGAGGTGGCTAAGAGCAGCAGTGGCAGGGGAAGAGTAGCGTGCAACTACAATGTAGTACAAGGTCTTAGCACTCTTGTGCTGACTAAAGTGCGCACGCTCAGTGGTCGGTAAGTGGCGACGCACAGCAAGACAGGCAGCAGCATCGCGTGTGGCCCACTGTGAGCGAACAGTGGTGTCAGCATCAGCAGGCGGGGCAGGAGAGGCACCAGAGGTGAGATCGAACAGGGAGAGTCCGTCTGCCCTATCGCACTATAGGAAAAGCTGCAGGTCATCGACCCAGACCTCGAAGCCAACAGCACGACCCTCAGTATCAAAGGTAAGGACACTGGGGGTAGCCATGATGCCTTCTTCCTACCATAAAGTCCCGCATTTTGTGTGTGTTCTGTGCGCATCCGTTTTTGCATTCTGTTTCATGTGTTTTTGTTGTGGGCACATGACAAGTCATGACGAATCACGACGAGTCATGAATTCTCGTGACGACTCATGTTCGTTCGCTAATTCTCATGAACAACTGTGAGCGTTCATGATAGTTAC